TCTCTGGCAGCAGCCTCCCTCAGCCAAGGCCACGTAGCCCCTGGCCCGAGCTTAGTGTTTCAGTGGGACAGGCCTCCCTCTTGCACCCAGCAGTCCCTGGCCCCCAGGGGTGTCCCCCCCCCTCAGCACAACACCCCCACATGACCCCCGGCTGCTCCTCTGGGCCTTGAGGTGGATTTCTGGCTCATTTCCCCCCCCTCATCTTCTCCCCCCTGCCAGTACCCTCTGGTAGCACCTCAGGGAGGAGGGGAAGGACAGCATCAAATGCCACCCTGGTCACCCAGCCCCAGTCCTACAAGCAGGGCTGGGAGGGACAGGAGCTGTGTCCTGTTCCATGCCACACACAGGGAGAGTTCTGGAGAAGCCGAGTGCAGCTCACTGCCCTACCTGACCGGGACCCCTCCAAGCCACCTACCATCCTGTGTCCCAGAAGGAAGCTGGGGCACAGGGGACGGCAGAGAGGAGAGCAAGGCTCAGGTGACAATGGCACAGAGAGACCTGTGTGCCAGAGCCTTACAGCCCAGGAGGGAGGGGAGAGGACAACGCCCTGCTGAAGGGAAGAGGCCAAATGTCCAGATAACCCTCCTGAGACAGCCATGTCCAGCTTTCACAGCACAGCGATGGGCATCAGGGTTGGCTTGGTCTGCTGCGTGCCAGAGGGTGACACATGCCCAACACCAGTCCGGGGCAGAGCGCGGGGCTCTCACCAGTACACTTAGTACACACCAGCACCCGCAGGGACGCAGCGTGCAGGCTGCGCACCAGCCAGTCATGCCACGGCCCTCCAAGAGCACCGGCAGTCTCCATCCTTCCCCGCAATGGCTCCAGGGAGATGGGGGTGAAAAGGAGAGAGAAGCGTGACTCGGGGAACTGGTGACACTGCCATGGGACGATCGGGCCGCTGGCACAGTGCTTGGGTATCGACAGATCCACCCAGCTCCCAGGGAGAAAGCAGGAGGCTCCTGTCGTGGATGGCAGTGCAATGAGTGTGCAGGTCCTCTGCAGCGTAGGGTACAGCAGCGGGAAGGAGAGGGGAACACATCCCTTCCAACTGTAAACGCAGCACTTGGAGTAGCTTAGAGCCTTTTACCCTTCTGGAGCTGTCAGAGGCCCGGCCTCAGTGCAAGGCGGGTGGCATGGGCCTCAGCTTTGGCACACGGGCAGGAGTCACTCCTCATCCCCGGCCAGCAGGAAGCTGTAGAGGAAGTTGATGGCACGCTGGCGGTCCTGCTGAGTCTGCTTTGCCATCAGATTGGGTGGAGGGCGCAGGAGGAGGCTGGAGAACAGGGCTGCTGTAGGCAAAATGAGTTGTTGGTCAGGAACGGAGACCTTAAAAGGCGCCAGGAAGGGGTTATGTTTCAGTGAGGGCAGCAGGAGCAGAGCAGAGAAACGACACTCTTACCGATCATGGCGACACTGACGTTGTTGTCTTCTGAGTATTTGAGCAGCTCTCGGAGGAACAACATTAGGTACTGAAACACGCTGCGATGGCAACGAGGCAGCTGAAAAATCGCCTGCAAAGAAAACAGGCAGGAAGCTCTCCCAGCTCATGCTATGCAGCCTGGGCACGCTGTGGCTCTCTGGACTTCAGACGGGCAGCTTTCCCCCCTCCGCTGCCTTGAGGCCACTGCGTGACCACTGGTGCGAGCCACAGGCCCAGAAAGAAAGCAACAAGCCACCAGCTGTAGCCTAGTGCTGATGGCACTCATGGGCTTTGGCTCCTGGTAACACTGCCTCTAGGATAACTGCATCAGCAAGCAAAAACTACCACTGCCCTGGGGCTCCTTCCCACTTGTTTCCAGTTGGATCCCAGCTCTCACCCTCCTGGCTGCAGAGCAGCAGCATGAGAACCAGGACAAGAGGTTTCCCGATGCCAGTACTGAAAACATACCCCAAAACTTCTTCCTCTGCCCAAGGACATCCTTGGCCTTGTTTGCTGCCCCACCAGCTATTTTTAAGAGCCACCTGGTCATAGTCCTTAAAGGAAGCACAGGAACTGCAGCTCTGAGCAGGTGCTTAAGCCCTCGAGACCAGTGGAGGCTCTTCCACTCCCCGGGGATGTTATTTTCCATGTGCTCAGGGTGACACAGAGCACACTTGGGGTCTCTTTGGAAGCCACCAGGTCTGCTGGGAGACACTGCAGTGCCGACCTTGGGACAGGAAAGCACTGCCAGAGCACCCAGGTCATCCTGCTCACTGCAAAGAACCTCCGAGTACCTGCTCCCGAAGCTCCTCACCAGCTCCAGCTCGGGAAGGGAGCGGGACCCAGCAAGCCCCAGGACCAAGGCAGAGCTCACAGCAGCAGGGAGAGCTGCTCTGAGCCTGCAGCAAGCGGACAGGGACAGAGGCAGCACCGCACCTGTTGGCACAGCCGGCTGTTGTGTGACCAGTCGAGGCACCGCTGATACAGCTCGTAGCAGATCACTGGCTCTGGCAGAGCCTCCAGGAAGATGAGGAGTGCTTCAGCCACAGAGTGGTTACTGCCCGCTGGACCGGTGGGAATCAAGGGGCATGCTGAGCAGACGGACCACCTCCTTCCCCAGCCTGCTCCCTGCCTCTCCTCCTTCCCAGTTGCTTTGTCTCTGCTCCCTCCTTGCAGGTCTTGCAAGTTTTCTGCCTGCCTAACTGCTCCCTGACACCGAAGCCCTCCTCCTCTCCCTCTGTTGTCCCCCATCCTTGGAAAATGCTGTTCCATCCACCTTGCACTGCATTTGCCCACCCTCTAGCCCTACAGAAGTCTTCTGCTCCATTAGCCCCTTCTCCAGATCATGCTCCCCAGTGTCCACCCTCATCAGCTCTTGCGCTTGGCACAGCCTTGCAGAAGTTTCCAGAGCCCTGGCCCTGTGGCTGCTTCAGCCAGCACATGTTCAGCTTCAAGAGAGCTCTGAGGAGACAGAGGGGAGCCAACCCCCCAGTAGGGACCCTGCCAGCTAAAGGTTGCAGACAAGCTCTCCTGAGAGTGAGCTCTCCCAGCAGAGCTGAGATCCAGCAGGCTCCTGGCAAAGTCAGGCACAGCAAGGATACGGATTGTCTCCGGGATACTGGTGTCCAGGCAGTCGATGATCTGCTCCAACTCTTCTTGCATGCCTGGAGTCTGGAACAGGTCCTCCTGCCAAAAACAGCACAGGGATGGACAAAGTCTCCTTCCTCACAAAGGCTGAGGCACATAGCAACAGCGGGGTGAAACCTGGTACCCCCAGCCAGTGCCTCAAGCACAGGGGAAAAGCCCTGCCCTATAAATACCGAACTGGAGTTGATCTCCAGTACTGATGAATCAGGTCACCAAGCTCTCCAGAGCTTCCCGGCATGGCAGAGGCCCTCTCCCTCACCTGGTGGCAGGCATGCTTGAACAAGTGGTCCACCAAGAGCCAGATCTCCTTCGGCACCTGCAGTGGCATCCCACTTCCCTCCTCACTGTCCATGGAGCCCAATGGCAGAACAGATTTCTCCTGGTGGCAAAGAGCACACAAGGTTTCAGGGAAGCCTCAGGCCCTCTGGAAGGGCCTTGGTAAAGAAAGCCTGGAGAGGGGAAGCCCAGGACTCATCTGGCCCTTTCTTGCTTTTACAGCACAGAGCCATCGCTCTGTAGGTCCCAGCTCCACACCCTCCCGCTGCCCCACAGAACCACCTGCCTGGTCCACCATGAAACTGCAGAAGACAGTCCCAGCCACACCTCAGAGGAGCTCCCCCCAGCCACAGCAGCTCCCACAGGATGGGTCTCTTGCTGGCCGAGATGGCCTGTCCAAATCACGACTCCCACCCCGCACGCCGCAGCCGACACCCTGGAGGACTGGAGCATCATGAGTCCTTCTGCTGCATTAGCTTCCACATTTTAGGCTAAATCCAGCCACTGCGCCCCGCTCATCCAGCTGATCTCCTCTGGATGCAGAGTCAAGGACATGCCTTTCCTGACTCCTGGGTGCTCCGACCATGCCTGCCTTCCGGGCTCTAAAACAGTCCAGTTTCCTAAAGTTTCTTTCCTGATTTTCCTAAGAAGAGGTCTCTGCTGAACGCAGACTACCCAGCCACCGTCACGTTTTCCCACTTACTCATGCAAAGCAGCTGACGAGCTCAACTGCTCAGAAATCTCCATCACACCAATCTTTAACGGGATCAATGTTTTTTTGCTTGATTTTACTCGCACTTGATGATCGCTCATGTTCCTGTGTGCTCCCAAGGAGGAAGCCATGCACAGCTCTCCTGAAGCACGTTCAGCAGAAGCACCCAGAAGAGACCGGCACAAGCAGGAACACAACCCAAGGACACCAGCAGAGAGGAGTGCCACAAGCCAAATGCAAAGCCCTTCATTTCAGCTGTCAGCTTACAGGACAACTGTGATCGCTGTCCCTCTGCAGCACACACAATCACTCACAGCCAGTTGGGGCTGGGTTCAGTTTCCCCCGGTGAACCCAGAGACACCTCAGGTTGGCACAAGCCCCGCCGGGCAATAGCCAAGCTTGCCATACACCACAGTATAGCTTTGCTTTGCCCTGCACACCACTAGATTTTACCCAGCTAGCAGACGCTGGCTCATGGCTACACGTCTGCCTCGCTCACCCAAGCGCACAGGGAAGGTTCGGAAGCAGCATGTTAGGCAAGCGCGTTACCACTTTCCTCTAAGAGGGAAAAGCTGAGAGCTGTGGACCCTCTCTGAGAGCTAAGGGCTCTTCAACAGAAAATCCCCAGGCCAGGGCATCGCGGCACTGGAGCCAAGTGCCAGACCAGCACTCAACTCTGCCAGGCTGCCCTTGGCACGACTTGGAGAGCTGCAGAGACCCCCAAGCAGGAGACCCCAGCTGCTTAGAGCAGAGGAGGAGGAGAAGGCTCGGGGCTCCTCAGAGCAGCGGAGGAGGGGGAGAAGGAGGAGGCGGCGGCTGTGGCGCTGGGCCTTTGGTTTTTGGTGTGCATTGGCCAGGCGCCGAGCGCCCTCTCCTGCCGTGTGCGAGGAAGGCAGGGCACGTCCGTGTTTTCTCCGCGGGACGATGCTCTGCAAAAGGATGTTCCCAGGAGGCAGGCACCAAACTCCTCCCTTCCCCGCTGCTAGGAAGGAGTTTGGGAGCTTTACCTGGTTCAACACCCGAGTTCAATCCCCTCTTGGAGAGGAGACATCCATTCCCTCTCCTGTTTTACCCTGTCGCTGCATTGACAGCCTGGAGAGGGACAAGTCACCCAGCCCAGGAAGCCTGCACAGAGCCAGCTCAAGCAAGCTACCAAACGTCCGAGCTGGCGCAGGGAGAGCAGGAACAACACTGCCACACACACCCCAGCATCTCCCACTCGCTCTTCGAACGACAGATTTGACTCGCTTGGCCTCCAGTGCAGAGCACAAGGGCAAAGTAAAGCAGCGATCGTGCTCAGGCATCTGTGGCTACGAGAGCCGGCTGCTCGAGGAAGCAGAGAAACATCTGCCTCCTATGCGAGG